GAATAAATAACTTGAAATATATTTTAAATCCTAAATGCATTACATAAGGATATAAAATAAAAAAGAGAAAAAATTTGCTTTAAATATTTTTTTAAAACCACAAGGGGTTTTAGAATTACCAGTGCTTAGCTTTCAATTCGCCTCTGACCAACAAATGAAATGTGAATAACCCGTCCTCTCCTGTTTGAAACAAGGGGTGCGTTCTGTCGGTGCTTGAAACAATTTTGTCGTGAAAAAATTTGTCACCACAAGAGGTCTAAGTGAAAATTTGAAACTATAGGGGGTTAAATGATAAATTATTTCAGCACAGTGGGTGTAACTGATAAGTTTAAAATCACATGAGGTTAAATAATATATATAAAATCACAGTAGGTGAAAATAATTTTTTTTCAAATAATAATAATAATAAGGGAAAAAGGTTTGTCCTGACACAAATTGTATCTTTTAACACTCATAAAGAGGTGGGATCTGCACCTTTATTTTTTTTGTCCACTCTCTCCTTCCTTGTCTATTTTTTTCTCTAATTTAAAATGACATAACTTTATATCTTTTAAAATAACACACTTTTCCCTAATAATAATAATAATAAACAATCAAGAGAGAAAATATTATCATTTAGAAGAGATAATTTATTTTATTGAATTGTCATTATTTAATTTGAGAGATAGAGAAATAGATCGTAAAAAAAATGAATCATGCATACATTGTAGACACGAGTAGCTCGGACCAACATTTTTTTTTTTTTTTAGGTTACAGGGAATAGAACACACAATCACACACTCACACACACCCTATTAAACACACTCACACCACTAGGCTAGCCCTAGTGGTTACCAACAAACTTTTTATATACGAGCAACTCAACAAATTTTTTTATTGCAAACTAACACATTCAAATTTTTGCGTATTGAAAGGTTATTATTTTGAATTTTATGTGGTTACTGACTTAGAAATTTATAAATTATGATGATTCTATTACAAATTTTGGTTATGATGAACTGAACTGATAAGTAGTTTTCTAAATATGGATTTTTTATTTATTCAACAAAAATGTTTGTGAGATTATATTGATTATTTATTTATAAAAATTAATTAATTTTTCAATATCATCAAATTGATTCTAAAAATAATACTAAGTTTTCTTAATTAAAAGGACGAGAATAATTACATTTTATTATGATATTTGTAATTGTCATGCAACACATTTAGGAACAAAATTTAATGATATACAAAAACTTGTAGAAAATGAAAAGTAAAATGGAGAATTCAAGTAAGAAAATGACCACAGAACTCCACTGATAAATTCATGACTAAAGTTCCTAACAAAAAATACGGTCCCCACTTTAGTCCTTTACAAAAATAAATTAGTCAGTTAGTTCCTAACAAATTCAAAGTGGACCCATTTAGTTGAACCGTGGTCCCTCACAAATTCAAAAAAGACCCATATTAGTCCCTCAAAAGGACTAAAATGGGTCCACCTTGAATTTATTAGGGACTAAGTGACTAATTTATTTTTGTAAAGGGCTAAAATGGAAATCGAGATAAAAAAGGTCTTTACTCTAAATTCATTGAGCAGAGCCTGATTTGAAGAAAGAAAACTCGTTTGTGACCGTAAAACCTCAAAAAGAAATAATTAACAAATGAAAAGTTATATTTATAAAAAAAAAATTATAAACTCTTACAAACCATATTATATATTAAGGATAATATATTTTAACACACAATATATTACTCCTAATATATATAATTTATAATATAATTTATAAGAATTTTTAAACTTTTTTTTTTGAAGGATATTGTGACAACCAAGTTGTGTTACTACCAAGTGACTACCAATTAATCTCACTGTTAGATCAATTATGTTAATCCAACAGTTATATTTATTTTCATCTTTGTATGGTTATGGTTTTCCAAATTTAATACTTTATATTTATTTGCACCTTTGTATGGTTATGATTTCTCATATTTAATGCTTTCACTTTAAATATGGGGAATCATAACCATATGAAAATAAATATAATCGTTGGATCAACATAATCAATCTAACGGTAAGATTAATTGATAGTCACTTGGTAGTAACTAGGGGTGTAAATGGGCTAGGCTGGCCTAGCCTACAGCCCGGGCTACGTTGAGTCTGGCCTACGTTGGAAGTAAAGTAGGCTTAGCCTTATAAGAATGCCTTTTTAACAAATAGGCCATAGGCCATTTTTGTCAAGCCTGGCCTAAAGCCTTGTAGGTTGGCCTATTTAATTTTTAAAAATAAAATAATATTTATTGTAAGTGGCAATTAGTACCAACCCTTGTCTTAATGGTGGTTTAAAGATATTTCAATGAATGATATTCTCTTGTAGACTTTATTTCAGCTTTGATTGACCTAGTAATTGTATTTTTTTATTTTTCCCATTTCTTTGACTCTATTCCTCTTTGATATACATTATAGAGCTGAGGTATTATGTTGACTCTTTCTTGTTAGTCATTTTTTATTTCTTATGAGAAGTATTAGTGCATGCATGAATGAAACTTTGCTCAGTATATTTTTTTAGTTATTTTTTTACTATTGTAAAACTTTTAATGCTCACTAGTGAAATTTATATCTCGTGTAAAAAAATGCAACAATTTATGAACACGTTAATGACTTGTAATGTCAAGCGAATATTTTTAAAATTGTTAAATTTTTTTTTAATTTTTTTAAAAAATATATCACGAGGGAGGCATACAAGACTTGTAGACCATATCAGGCTCTCTATTTTTAAAAAATAGGTCAGACTTAGGCTATAAATAAAGTCTTTAGTAGGCCAGTAAGCCAGATAAGCTGAATATTTTTTTACGTAGGCTTAGGCCAGGAAGGCCAAAGTCCAGCCCAACCCATTCCATTTACACTCCTAGTAGTAACACAATTTGATTATCACAATATCTTTTCCCTTTTTTCTTTTTATAAATATAACTTTCCCGTCAACGCGCACTTTTTGAAACTTGAGTATCGTCAGCCACTCAGCCTGCTCCACTTTCTATGCATTAACGCTCAGTGGGCCTCACTTTGTCTCAGGAAGTCAAGTCTACACAAATCTAAAGAAATTGTGTATTCATTGAGTGCGGCAATTAATTCTACAAACAGGGGCACGGGAATGCGGTTTTTATTTCTGTATTCATTTTTTTAAGATAACGACGTGAACGTCGATTAGTCATTCACACCTTTGCTTCAAAGAAATTGTGCGTGTACCGTGTTCCAGACTAATTTTAATTTCTATTTCTTGTTTGAATTAGCTTAACAGGTTATCTGGATCTGTTATATACGAGATAGAGGCTCAGTCCTATAAATGTCCAAATGACCGAGAAATCTCTTATGACTTGGTCGCAAAAGTAACCCATCTTGCACAGGAAGCACGGGATCTCGCTTAACTTGCCAATGTGACTTAACCTAAAAGGAACCAACATTGCTGAGATCAGGCAAGTTAGTCACTACCTGAACCCAATGAATAAGTAGCAACTCTTATTTGCTACCACATCTACTGAATTTACCTTGAATATATGCTTGCCCAATGTCCACTAAGGAATAGCCTGAAAGAGGCTACTCCTCTCCACCAAACTGAACATTATCCTATGAGAGACGGTATGAAACAAGACGCTCAAACACTATAAATACAGTGACATTTAGCTTAGGTATGATATCTCTTTTGAATACTTGAACCTCCTTGAATACTGAATTGACTTGAGCATCGAAGTGTCTTTGCAAGTACCCCAGTCGCTATCAATCTACCTAGGTACACAAAGTGCTGATCAACTATCTCGCCAAGCCACACAACATCTCGGCAAGTCTCTTGCCATCTCTCCTTCTCTTCATCAACATCATTCACTTCAACTGTGGGTGATCAAGCACAACCTAATATATGTTGAACTGATCAGTAGGTAATCGTATTTAATTGCAATTCGTGATGGAAGGATTCGGTTAATGCACTGATAATTTGAGTTTTGATAAGTTTCTTTCTTGCACACATAAAACAAGTTATTGTCTAGCAGCGACTATGCCCTCATTGAAAAATAGCTATTGTAAAATATATCATGGTTCTTATACCCTTTTGATGCGAAATACTAGTTTAATTTTTTTAACAGATTATTTATTCATTTAATATGAGTGCAACACATATGAGGGTGCACGTTTAAGTCGTTCATCACCCCATACGAGACTTGTACAAAAGCCTAAATACATCTGTCACGTGTCACACCCTCTAAGATACACATGGGATACGTGCAATTTGAACACACTCTGTCAAGATGTGCTTTTTGTGTTTTTGCACAAATTACATATGGAAATGATGCGCGACTTAAACATGCACACTTTTAATATGCATTTTACTCGCATTATATTGGTAATTTGATGTTTCATTTTTAAAAAGTCATTTGATGTGATTTTACTTTCAACACTCCCGTCATTATAATGGAGGCCATAGTGCATGATAATAATTGTCATGCTCTATCCCTCGTGCCACTACAACGTACAAACCTATTTTGGAAGTGGCAAGCAAGATGCGACTTGACATGGGCAGGGCACCTTAAAGTGCTTCCTCATAATAATTTTCATGGGTACCATTGGTATTTTTGTTTTTTTAGCAAGGTACCTTTCAATCAATGTAGCTAGCTAATTGAGTTTTGTTATTAAAATTGTGATTATTTGTCTAGTGAGAAATGAGAATATTCACGTAACATTATCAAATTAAAATTAGACATAAAAGGATCATTCTACTTTGTTAAATTCTAAACTCCGAAGTCGCATTAAGTCTTATTGAACAATATTTAATCTTGAGTTTAAAATTCACTCAAGCCACCATATATGCACTTTTCTTGAACTTGTGTATAGCTTCTCCACACCAATTCTTTTACCTCCTATTCATGATGAAGGAAACCACGGATAACAAAAATCATTGACTTCATTCGAACGGGGAGAGATAAAAACACTCTACTCTTCGTTTTGGTCAGTCCTAAGATTCATCCAACCTTAACACATGGAGAAACTACTTTGCTTTCGCTTATGTTTATTCACATTTTCATTGCAATGTTTCATATTCTACTTAGCTCTAAGTGGAACCAACTTCACCACAGACAAGTTTGCACTTCTTGCTCTCAAATCTTCTATAACCAAGGACCCTTACCATTTCCTGTCTCGTAGTTGGTCTGTCTCCTCTTCTGTATGCAACTGGGTTGGTGTCACTTGTGATGCTAACCATAGAAGGATAAGGACCTTGAATCTTGGTAACATGGGTCTTAGTGGTACCATACCTTCTCAGTTGGGAAACCTCACATTCCTTATTGAACTTGACCTTGGTGGAAACAATTTCCATGATCAATTGCCAAAAGAACTAGTCCAGCTTCGTAGATTGAAGTCACTCAACTTGAGCTACAATGAATTTAGTGGAAATGTTCCAACTTGGATTGGAGGCTTATCAGCACTACAATATTTATACCTTGGAAATAATAAATTTGGTGGTTTTAATCCAAAATCTTTATCCAATTTGACAATGCTAGAGATCTTGGATTGGAATGACAATCTCATTCAAGGAACTATTCCTCCTGAAGTTGGCAAAATGACTCACATGAGGTTGTTATCAATGGCTTCAAATAGTCTTTCGGGAACCATTCCTCCCTCAATTTCTAATCTCTCTTCCCTTGAACGAATCAGTTTATCTTATAACTCTCTTTCAGGTAATGTCTTTTGTTGAATAAACGTTAAATGTGGAGTTATGTGTCAGTTTAATTTTTGATGGGTTTAATTCAGCAATCAATTTAGTTTTAAATGGGTTTAATTCAGCAAACGTTAAATGTCAGTTTTATGTTTTTAAGTTTCTGAAATTATGTGAGTTTATTGTGATGTTAAGTGTCTTTATTGTAGAGTTACAAGTTTTGTAATTTAAAAATCTATTGTTTGAATGTAAAAGTTACGACTTCTGCCTTAATAAAAATCCTTTGTTTTACTCTTCTCCTAACAAATTGGTATCAGAGCTATGGAAAGGGGGAGTGATATGGCACTACCTAAGTTGACGAAGGAGAACTACGAGAATTGGAGCATCCAGATGAAGGCTCTTCTCGGATCCCAGGACGCTTGGGAGAATGTTCAAGCAGGTTTTGTAGAACCACAGGATACTGGAGGCTATTCGGCGGCTCAAACTAAAGCGTTGAAAGAGACGCGTGCAAAAGACAAGCTGGCGTTATTCATGCTCTTCCGAGCTGTAGACGAATCCGGGTTCGAGAAGATAGCAAATTGTGAGACCTCAAAGGCAGCCTGAGACATCTTGGCAAATGTCTATAGAGGAGCTAACCGGGTTAAACAAGTCCGGCTTCAAACCCTTTGTGCCGAGTTGGAGGGAATGAAGATGAAGGACACGGAAGGAGTATCCGGGTTCGTTGCCCGGGTTCAAGGAATTGTGAACCAGTTGAAACGGAATGGAGAAGATATACCTGACACCAGAGTGGTGGAGAAAATCTGAGATCTTTGACAGACCAGTTCGAAAACGTGGTTTGTGCGATAGAGGAGTCCAAGGATCTGTCTACACTCACCATTGACGAGTTGGCGGGTTCCCTTGAAGCGCATGAACAAAGAAAGAAGAAGGAGGAGGAAACTCTTGAGCAGGTACTTCAGACCAAAGCAACAATTAAAGATGAGAAGATGCTCTATTCTCAAAGTTTCCGAGGTAGAGGACGTGGCCGCAGTGGACGAGGTACTAGCCGTGGTGGTAGAGGTCGAGGCCGAAGTCAAGAAGTGTATGGTGATGAGGTAGGACAGTCAAATCAACAAAACTGGAGAGGACGAGGACGAGGTCGACGAGGAGGTCGGTCACATTATTCAAACATCGAGTGTCACAAATGTGGAAAGTTTGGTCACTATGCGAAAGATTGTAACTCAGACAAGTGTTACAACTGTGGCAAAGTCGGACATTTCGCAAGAGAATGCAGAGAGGAGAAAAAGGTGGAGGAGACGTCCAACCTAGCCACAGAAGGTGAGATGAAGGATGGTGTCTTGTTAATGACACACAGTGAAGGAAGTCCTGACGATGACATGGAGTGGTAACTTGACACGGGTGCGAGCAACCACATGTGCGGACATAAACACTTCTTCAAGGAGATGATAAAAATGGAAACCGGACATGTTTCGTTCGGGGATGCCTCAAAGGTTGAGGTAAAAGGACGAGGTACGATCTGTTTCCTACAAAAGGACGGGTTAATTGACTCAATTCGAGATGTGTACTATGTACCCGACCTAAAAAGCAATATTTTAAGCATGGGTCAACTGATGGAGAAAGGTTACTCGGTTATTATGAAAGACCGGGTATTGTATTTGAAAGATGAGCAAGGTCGGATGATAGTCCGAGTTCAAATGGGTAAGAATCGTATGTATAAACTGAATTTGAAATGTGTACAGGTTGAATGTTTACAAGCCGAGGTAGAAGATAAGGCGTCACTTTGGCATCTCCGGTTTGGTCACCTACATTATGGTGGTCTAACCAAGTTGGCAGAGAAAAAAATGGTGGACGGGTTACCTGACATAAATTTTGAAGGAAAGTTTTGTGAAAGTTGTGTACTTGGCAAGCATGCCAGGACCACGTTTCAGAAGATGGCAAGATTCCGGGCTAAGAAACCTCTGGAACTAATACATACCGACTTGTGTGGACCCATCAATCCGGGTTCCTTCAGCGGTAAGAAGTATTTTATTTCCTTTATTGATGATTTCTCACGGAAAACTTGGGTTTACTTTCTGAAGGAGAAGTCCGAGGTGTTTGATGTGTTCAAAAAGTTCAAGGTGATGATTGAGAAAGCAACAGGAAGCTATATCAAATCGGTGCGGTCTGACAGAGGTGGGGAATATACCTCAACAACGTTTATGTCGTTCTGTGAGGAACAGGGGATAAGGAGGTTTCTAACAGCACCATACTCACCACAACAGAATGGCGTGGCTGAAAGGAAGAACCGGACTATTCTTGACATGGTTCGGTCAATGCTGAAGAACAAAAGGATGCCGAAGGAGTTTTGGGCGGAAGCTGTGCAGTGTGCTGTGTATGTGCAGAACCGATGTCCACATTCAAGCTTGGATGACAAAACACCACAGGAAGCATGGAGCGGTCAAAAGCCTTCAGTGGCTCATCTCAGAGTTTTTGGTAGTGTGGCCTATGCACACATACCGGACCAGCTCAGAACTAAGCTCGAGGATAAAAGCAAGAAATATGTTTTTATTGGATATGATGAAAAAACAAAGGGGTATAAGCTGTTTGACCCCGTCAACAAGAAAGTCATAGTGAGCAGAGATGTAAAGCTCAATGAAGCAAATGAGTGGGACTGGAGCAATTCATCTGAGATAAACTTTGAAGACGGAATCACAACACAAATTATCAACCCGGCAAGTCCTGAAGCTTCTGATGATGAAGACGAGGTACGACAACCCAGGATGCGGAGCATACAAGACATATATGAGTCAACAAGTGAGGTACATTTTGTTTGTCTTCTTGCAGATTCTGAAAATATAAGCTTTGAAGAAGCCATCCGAGATAAGAAATGGCAAGACGCCATGGATGAGGAGATAGAAGCCATTGACCGAAATAACACATGGGAGTTAGCCGAGCTACCAAAAGGAAGTCGGCCCATTGGAGTGAAGTGGGTGTTCAAGAAGAAGATGAATGCTCAAGGGGAGATAGAACGATATAAAGCTCGTCTAGTTGCAAAAGGTTATAAGCAGAAGGCTGGAATTGACTATGACGAGGTGTTTGCCCCTGTTACAAGGATGGAGACAATTCGGCTACTCATCTCACAGGCTGCTCAATACAGATGGCCAATACATCAAATGGATGTAAAGTCGGCATTCCTGAATGGTGTTCTTGAAGAAGAAGTTTATGTGGAACAACCGCCGGGCTACATGAAGGCAGGAGAAGAGAAGAAGGTGCTGAGATTGAAGAAAGAACTTTACGGGTTGAAGCAAGCACCACGAGCATGGAATGCTCGTATTGACAAATATTTCAAGGAGAATGGACTTGAACAGTGTCCATATGAACATGCTGTTTATGTCAAGAAAAATGGAGGAGACTTGTTAATTGTGGCTCTTTATGTTGACGACCTCATTTTTATGGGAAACAATGCCAAGATGATACAAGAGTTCAAGAGCACAATGACAAGAGAGTTCGAAATGACAGATCTCGGTTTTATGAAGTTCTTTCTCGGTTTGGAAGTAAAACAAAATGAGAAGGGAATCTTCGTGTCACAGGAGGCTTATGCAAAAAAGATTTTGAAAAAGTACAAGATGGAAGATTGCAACCCGGTTTCAACACCAATGGAACCCGGTTCAAAACTTTCTAAGTTTGATGGAGGAGACCGTGTTGATGCAAGCAAGTACAGAAGTTTGGTGGGAAGCCTACGCTATCTCATATGCACGAGGCCGGATATCTCGTTGAGTGTCGGCATAGTAAGTCGGTTCATGGAGGAGCTAAGATACACACATTGGAAGGCGGTAAAGAGAATTCTGAGGTATGTTCAAGGTACAGTTTCACACGGGTTACACTACTCGAGCTCGGCAAAATACAAGTTGATTGGATATTCTGACAGTGATTGGTGTGGAGACGTAGATGATCGAAAGAGCACGACTGGTTATGTGTTTTTCATGGGCAACACGGCATTCACTTGGATTTCGAAGAAGCAACCTATTGTGACACTGTCGACATGTGAAGCTGAATATGTAGCTGCATCTTGGTGTGTTTGTCATGCAATGTGGCTCAGGAATTTGCTAAGCAAGCTGGAGGAAAAACAAGTCGGCCAAACTGTGATCCGAATTGACAATAAGTCGGCTATAGAGCTAGCCAAGAACCCGGTAAATCATGAAAGAAGCAAGCATATTGACGTCCGATTTCACTTCATCCGGGATCAAGTAAAGGAAGGAAATGTGGAGCTAACACACGTGACCAGTCAAGAGCAAGTCGCAGATATCTTCACGAAACCACTACCGACGGTACTCCTTGACAACCACAAGAAATTGATCGGCATGAAGGATGGCAGAAGCATTTAAGTTTACGGGGGAGTTTTGTTGAATAAACGTTAAATGTGGAGTTATGTGTCAGTTTAATTTTTGATGGGTTTAATTCAGCAATCAATTTAGTTTTAAATGGGTTTAATTCAGCAAACGTTAAATGTCAGTTTTATGTTTTTAAGTTTCTGAAATTATGTGAGTTTATTGTGATGTTAAGTGTCTTTATTGTATAGTTACAAGTTTTGTAATTTAAAAATCTATTGTTTGAATGTAAAAGTTACTACTTCTGCCTTAATAAAAATCCTTTGTTTTACTCTTCTCCTAACAATGTCTTTATTCATGTCTTTGAATATGTGGAGGATATGGTACATCAGAAATAGAAAATTCTTCCATAAAATTAACGAGTCTTCTTCTGAAAAAATGGTCAACTGGTGCACCAATGGTTGGAATTTTTCCAAATCTAATTTTGTTTTAGTTTGGTTTTATTCTCAAATGTTCTATCTTATAGCCTTGTTTTTCATTCCCTAGCTAGATTAAATCAATTACTTTAACAATCAATAATATGAACTTTTTCTCTATATCTAATAGTTCTCTAGATTATGCAAAATATTTTAGTGTTCTCATTGATTTGTATGTTATGTGAAATAAAGGAGGCATTCCGAGGGAGATTGGTGATCTTCCACAGCTAAGAGTAATGTATCTTGGAAATAATCCACTTGCTGGTTCCATACCATCAACAATCTTCAACAACTCAATGCTGCAAGATATTGAACTTGGCTCGAGTAATTTATCTGGCAGTCTTCCATCAAATCTATGCCGTGAACTTCCAAAAATCCAAGTACTTTATCTAAGTTTCAACCAGTTATCAGGTAAAATGCCATCTGTTTGGCATCATTGCAAAGAATTGACAGATGTAGACTTATCAAATAATAGGTTCAGCAGAGGAAGCATACCTGCTGATATTGGAAACTTAACTACGCTTGGCTCCTTATATCTTCATGAGGACAACTTGGAAGGTATACTGATGCTTATATCTTCATACAAGTTCATAAATTTAATATAGCCCAAGTATTTACAAAGAGGTTTTTTCCGGATTCTTACATATACCCTTTTAGTCACAAAAAAACAGTTTTACAATTACTCAACACTCCTTTTTTAAAATCACTCCTTATTAAATCCCGACAAGTGAGGGTAAGAGTGAAGGCAAACTTTATACAGTTCAATATTTATTGAACAATCTACAAAAGTCATGCTTGAGTTAGGTTGGTCTTTTTAAAAACTCAAAGAAGCTATATATCTAAAACTTCTCAATTATTAATTTTTAGATTATAATTTAAAATCAGTTGTACAAAGTTTCAATCAATTTCTCCAACAAGAGGTAAAGAAGTATTAACAGCAAACTAATTCTTGCAAGAATTCTAATCTGATTCATATAAGGGTTAAACATCCGTCCTGTTACCGGAAAATCAAAATTTTGTCCACCTGGTACATCGATCTCTCTGTGCTTTCTTTTATCTTTTTTTTTTTTTAAAAAAAAAAAACACGTGAACCCATCTATTGTTTTGTGTCAGCAGGAAATTGTTATATTTTCATGTAACATGACTCTAGTTTTACCGTTCATATAAATTTTAGGTATGCTTTATTGGTTCAATGCATATATTGATTGATAATATTATAAAGCTCATGTTGTTTATAGGAGAAATTCCATCATCTCTTTTTAACATATCTTCACTGAGAGTACTCAGCCTTCAAGAAAATAAGTTGAACGGTAGCCTAACAGAAGAGATGTTTCATCAGCTTCCTTTACTAGAGGTCTTTTCTTTGGCTGATAATCAATTTGTGGGAAGCATTCCAAAATCTATTAGCAATTGTACGATGCTTCAAGAACTATATTTGAGTGACAACTCTTTCGCAGGTATACCACTCTATCTATATATATTTTTCTATTTTAAATAACATTGTTTATTGAATTTCATTAAAATAATACTTAAATTGCTTAGTAGTAGCTTTGATATAATATCGTCGACCATGGCATGAATAACCTTTTTTGGGTTGGTTCATACATCATATAATCTTTAATTTTTTTGAAATATTTTAATCGGTTGATCGCTTCGCGACTAGTTCGATTCGGGACGAGTTCAGGATTAAGGCTTTAAACCCCTCTCAAAGGCTTTATATTAAAGAACATTATCATAATAAGTTGGGAGGCATTGATACTATTTCTTAATTAAATTATTAGGTGGAGGATTACAAATATTTTTATGTTTTTAACAATAATGTAACACTCTGTTCTAGACCTGGTTTGTTGACATTACGTATGGCATTAAGCGCAGTTACAATCACAGCAATTAAATTATAATACAGATAAATTTTTTTCTTTTTCGTTAATAAACGTCTATCTTTAAAATCAATTGCGTAATTAAAACAAGTCCAAAAACTGTAATCATAACTTGAATAATATGCGGAACACTTAGGCGGCGTTTGGTTCAGGAAATTTTTTTGAAATAGTAGGGAAATGAGATATATAGAGAAATGATTGGAAAGATAGATAAAGTGAGATAGGTAGAAAAATGTAAAAAAAAAGTTGTTTGGTGGGGAAAAACTTTACTGGGAAAATTATGTAACTTTATGAAATCAACAGTGCATTAAAAGCCAGATAACCGGTTTTTCGAAAAATCCCATATTCAAATTGGGTTTCTAAACAGTGCGGATATCTATGTTTCTCATAAATCCAGACAAATTGGATAGATGAGTTTTTGGTGAAAAACGTTGAAACAAACATGGTGTTTCTAAAAGCCATACTTGAGAAAGATAGATATCCGCTGAAAAGCTCCCAACCAAACACCACCTTAAGGTTAATTTAACCATACCATACGTCGCTCCTTTAAAGTGCCAAGTAGTCCCCTTGGACCAACAAGGCTTGAAAACTCATTTTTATTTATATTCAACACTGAACACCTTCACTTTTTATTTACTCAAAGAATTCTATACTTTCTCTATAGTCCTCATCTCCCACTATATTATAGATCTCTTCATTAGCTACGCGTGGGTTCAAACCGCGCTCAATTTGGAGCACCATAGCTCAAATTATGAATTTTTGAAGAAAATGGTGCTAAACTTCGCAGGGTCTCGCGCTCCCCGCTAATAGCGCCACAACACTGGCTTCCCATTGTCTTACGGTGTCGTCAGTGCCAACTTGTCGCTAATAGCGCCAACCCAACGGGTCTGAAAATTACACTCTACTTTAGTATTTCCCCCATAACTTGAGTTGTACTTATCCGATTGACGCAATCTTGGTCTCGTTGGAAAGCTAAAAAAAAGATCTATAACTTTCAAGAAGACCAAAGGATCCAAATCTATCATATATGATATGAAAAATGGACAACAAGACACGATATCTTTATATTTACATTGATTATCAACCTAAATGTCTTCTTTCACCTAATTAGCATTGTATAACTACAAGACATAAACCTTATAATTTTAAGGTGCACATTTATCAAAATAGGCATTCATGCCCTTCCATCATATATACAATAAGTACAATATTACACAATATCCAAATGTCTTTAATACATAACTATGAGACTTAGCTACAAAACACTACCTTGGCTCCAATCAACAACATGAGACACCAAAGATGTAACACCCCGTTCTAGAATTGGTTTGTTATCATTACTTTATGATATTAAGCGCAATTACAATCACATTGGTTCAATTAAGAATATGGATAAATTTTTTCTTTTTAAAACGTTGCTCATTTCCTTAATTAACAAGATCGTAATTTAATCTACCAATTTCGTGATTATAACCGTGTGAAGTTGCAAAATAACTAAAACTATGCTTAACATCATTTACTATCTTTATTTGACCTAATGAGAGGGTCCCTATTACTTATTTCAAGAGACCATAACTTTTTCTTAAAACTGGAGTTGGGGGCTTAAGCCCCCTCAGGTAGAGGGTTTTTTTAATTTTTTGTTCGAAGAGAGGGCATAAGCCCCTTTATTGGGCGTTTAAGCCCCTTGTGCGCGTTTAAGCCCTCATTTTGAGTGCTTGAGCCCCCTGCGACAGAGAGTTTCTCCACGCACAGGTGCACCAGGGCGCTTAAGCCCCCCTCTTTGGGCGTTTAAGCCCCCAGTACGAGCTTAAGCCTCCATTTTCGAGGCTTAAGCCCCCTCCACTTGGGCAAAACACTAACTCTCTATTTTCATGTATTTCTCTTGGGGAGTTAAATCCAACACACCATATGACCTAATTGACAATCTTACAACATCAATGTTTCAATAGTTACATCTTCTACACCATTTCATTGGATAAATCAAAATGGAAAAACATAAACATAACATTCCATTAATGTATCAATATCTCAATTACATCCATGTTCTTCAAAATAACTACATGCCAAAGGACTTAGCTATCAAAAGACATTATCAAAGCTATTAGCCATATACAACAAGACAATTACTATAACAATGATCATGGACTAAGTCCTCCATACTACATCACATGGCCTCAAAATAAATACATATAACAATTCTAAATGGCATGCAACTCAAAATGTCCAGCTATCAGGTACAATTTACTCATGCTTCTTGCCTCTTTCAGCCTCTCCTCTACCAGTACCTGAAATGATGCCCCACAACACGAGGTGAGATATACGAATATATCACAGTAAATCAGGGGTCCTTGGAGATCACTCCACCTTAAGGTTCACTTTCGGTGAACACATAATAATAACAACTTAACACATTCTTATCCATAAATATCACATGGACGTCCAAGAGAGATCCTCAAAGGGCTGTTTCTCTTAGGTGCTCACCATAAGGAGATCCACATAAGGCTGTTTCAAAGGGAAGTCTACAACTTCACACTACGAGCTTCCAAGAGAGATCCTCAAGGGCTGTTTCTTTTAGGCTCCTACCACATGGAGATCCACATAGGGCTGTTTCCAAGAGAAGTCCCTACCAATCATCCTCATCATAATACTAGGCACTTCCAAGAGAGATCCACAATAGAGCTATCTCTCTTAGGCTCTCACCACAAGGAGATTCGCATAGGGCTGTTTCCAAGGGTAAGACAAACCACCTGAAGATCCTCATAGGGTTGTTTCCAGGGGGAGTCCTTACTGGAATTATGGCTTCAAGAGGGATCCTCAAGGGTTGTTCCTCTCAGGTAATAACCACAAAGAGTTCCCCTTAGGGCTGGCTCCAAGGAAGACCACACATCCATCATACTATTTACATTTATTGGACTGATGCAAAGACTATTCAATCCTTTCTCATTTATCAGTCCCTACCTTATCTCGCAACTATCAACAAAACCTCAATCCTAATCCTTAACCATTACCTCATTCATTATTTTACATCTATCAATCATTCCTCAATTATTCTTGAACAATCAAACATCAATCAATAATCATTAGTCAATCATAATATTTATCAATGCATGAATCAATGCATGAACATACAATTACTATCATTATTACATATCACACCTCATAAACCATTCCTCCTCAACGGAGTATAGTGGAATATTCAAGGGATCAACCCCAAAGTCCAAAGGTTTACTTTGCATTTGAACTTTCCTCAAAGCTTTCATTTCCTCAATTGAACACAACCACAAGGATTGGTCACTCCACTTGGTCCACTTGCTTCAATCCTAGCCATAAAAGGGACACCATCAAACATACAACCAACCGAGGCTAACAATGTAAGAAAATCCTTAATTTCAAGCATAGATTTCTCGAAATATCAAAGTATACTAAAATGACAATCTAAACTCATTTCTACCATTTATTTATCATTCCTAACAACATTTCCAAAAGAATTTAGCCTCAATATCACTTAAACTCATAAAACCCACAAAACACTATTCATTGTTTTCAACCTCTAGAAAACTCCATGAACACTAGGTTGGAGAAGTGGAAACTTACCATAATAGGCCACACAACCAAGGAATAGAGGTCTCCTGAGCTCCCATGGATGAAAACATCCTCAAACTCCTCCAAAGGCCTGTATTTTTGAAATCTTTGTAAGGAGATATCTCTCTCCACAAAGCTTCCCACTCAAAACCAAGCTTGGATTCACAATGAAGGGAAGATTCTAAGTGATTTTGACTTTGGAACGAGTTGATTTGGTTGGAAAATAAGGAAGTTAGGGTTTGAGGCTCAAAATGGTCTCTCCCTCTCTTTTCTCTCTAATGGTCGAAGAAGAAGAGGGAGTTTTGTGTTTTTGACACTTAACATAGGGTAGGTTGCTTTAACTAGGTAAAAACTTATCTCTATTTACTTGTCTTCATTCACTACCAAACTTTACCCAATGAATTACAATATTTTTCCAGTCATATTTCTAACTTTACTTTTACATTTTGGGTACTTTTGCTTACTCATATTTTTACCCTTTAATTCTCACTGATTGCACTTTTGATCTCAAAAGTGCCCTTAACTCATTAATTTTAGTCTCTTACTTAATTCTACCCAGTTATACATGCTTAATCACTTAATTACAGGTAATTAAGTAAATTCTTAAGTTAGGGGTATTATAAAAGGAGGTGAGCATAGGCTAAGTCCACCAAAATAAAGCATAATGTACATATATCAAATGGCTTTCAAATGTAAATCCTATACATGGGAACTACCAAATGACATGCATAACCAAAATGATGCAACATCATCATGTATCAATCTAGCCCAAGTATGGCCACTTGCCACCAGAGGCTCCTGCAACATCTGTACCTGAAAGGGGGTTCCCACAATATGGGGTGAGATATATGAATATACCTCAGTAAAAGCATTTCTCCACCCCGTAGTTCACTCACAGAATAATAGCAATAATAGTAAATAATGCAACAGATACATATTCATGCAGTGTGTCAAACATCTCCAGGAGATATCCCTCGAGCTCTCATGTTGTCCTAAGGATACTCATATGCAAAATAGTCCTACTGGCCAACTAAACTACCAAGTATGAATTATGCATCGTCATGCAACATATAAACATAGGGAAACACCATCCTATGTCACACCCAGTGCATGCACATTCATATAACAAAGCATTAAACCACTTTATTGCATTTACATACACTACCCATTCAGAGCTTGGTGGAACAATTAAGGGATCAATTTCCAATGTCCGAAGGCTTACCTCAATTGCTTCCAATCTCAACCTTTGTTCACCACCAATGCACAATAATCAAACTTCAAAATTAATACCTACATCAATGTATCATACAATCTATGAATACAACCAATTAAGGCCAACATAATCATTCACAACCAAGGCAATCAGTTGTCTATACTAGGCATAAACTCACAATTCAAGTGAGCTAATCAAGTTCCTTGGTCTCCGCCGTTTCTTGATCAATCAAAGGTGGTTCGCTTGCTCCAACCCTGTCAACACAATGGACATATTCAATCATCCAATTCACTAATTGCTCAAAATGCTAGAAAACTCACAAACCCAAGCATGAATTTTCCAATATATTGAACAATAACCAAATGACTAGCTAAATTCATTTCTACCATTTATACATCATTCCTAACAACTTTTACAAAAGGATTTAGCATCAATCTAACTCAAACTCATAAAACTCATGAAATCACTATTCATCATCTTCAACCTCATGCAATCTCCATGAAAACAAGTTTTGAGAAGTGAAAGTTTACCTCAAAAGAACACGCAACCAAGGAATGACGGTCTCCTAAGCTCCTATGGAAGAAAATGCCATTAAACTCCTCAAATCACCAAGTGGGTCGAATTCTTGGAAAAGAGATATCTCCCTCCACAAAGCTCCCCACTCAAAACTAATCTTGGATTCACAAAGAGGGAAAGATTCTAAGTGATTTTGGCTTTGGAATGGATTGATTTAGGTGAAAGATGAGTAAGTTAGGGTTTGGGCTTCAAAAATAGATTATCTTTTTCTCTCCCTTTCTTGTCTGTCGAAGAAGAAGAAGAAATGGGGTGAGTTGTGATGTTTTACAACTTAACATAGCTAAGTTACCTTCACCAGTTAAAAGCTTATCCATCTATTTAACTCTGTTCACTTCCAAACTTTACCCTATGGTCTAAAATATTTTTCTAGAAACATTTCTAATTTTACTTTTATATTTTGGATATTTTTTCCTACACACATTTTTATTCCCATAATTTTCACTAACTGCACTTTTTACCTCAAAAGTGACCCTAATTTATTTAATTAGATATTTTACCTAATTCGAATCTTATGGTGAGTGATATTATAAGTAAGCTATGTAGTTATTATTAAGGGATTAATGTTTATCGCGTAATAGGAGATAATTTTATCTCTTACACATACATAAAAATGTGGGGACTCATTTTTTTTTTCGTTCTTCTTCTCGCATCGGCCTACATGAGTCTCACATACTTTTATATGTGTGTAAGAGATAAAATTATATCATAAACATGAGAAACACTAATGACAATTATCATACATGCATAAGCGACTAAATAAGAGTTAATAGATGAGTTTGAGTGTAAATTGTAACCAAAAAATTCTACACGCGTTAAGACTAAAGATAGTTTGTTTACGTTATTTTTACTTCCTCTATGAATTGTAATGTTATTTCAGGTTCTATACCCGAGGAGATTGGTGATCTTCCTATACTTGGGACTCTAAGTTTGGGAAATAACCAATTAAGTGGATCTATTCCCTCGAGTATCTTTAACATGTCATCACTGAGTTACATGTCTCTGGCAAATAATTCCCTCTCAGGATTTCTTCCATTGCATATCAACCTAGAAGACTTGGAAGAACTAAACTTGTCTGAAAACCAACTTGGTGGAAAAATTCCAAGCAGCATCTCCAATGCGTCTAAGCTTAATTATGTGGATTTGAGTGTGAATAAGTTCAATGGAGTTATCCCAAATGCTCTTGGGAATTTGGGAGACCTTCAGTGGCTTGAAGTAGCATACAATAATTTAACTACTGATGCTTCCACTATTGAATTAAGCTTCCTTAGTTCTTTGAATTTTCTTCAAATATCAGGGAATCCAATGCATGGAAACCTTCACAAATCAATTGGAAATATGTCCAATTTGGAACAGTTCATTGCAGATGCTTGCAGCATTGATGGTAAAATCCCATTGGAAATTGGAAATTTAAGCAACCTGTTTATACTAAGTTTGTACCAGAATGATTTAAGTGGACCAATTCCAACAACAATCAAGGGTTTGCATTCTCTTCAATATTTGAGTCTTGGAAACAACCAACTACAGGGAACCATCATTGATGAACTTTGTGTAATCAACCGGCTGAGTGAGTTGTATATAACTGAAAATAAGCTAATTTCTGGTGTGATCCCAGCATGCTTTGGTAATCTTACTTCTCTAAGAAAGCTTTACTTGAACTCTAACAAACTGAATCATGTGCCCTCGTCCCTTTGGAGTCTCAAAGACATTCTAGAGGTGAATTTATCCGACAATGCTTTAACTGCATTTCTTCCACTTGATATTGGGAACTTAAAGGCTGTTATATTGTTGGATATATCAAAGAATCAGATTTCAGGAAGCATTCCTACTGCCATTGCTGGATTGCAAAATTTGCAAACACTCAACTTGGCACATAATAAATTGCAAGGGAACATTCCTGATTCAGTTGGCAGTTTGATAAGTTTGATATCCTTGGACTTATCCCAAAACTATTTGTTTGGCATGATTCCAAAATCCTTGGAGTCACTTCATGATCTCAAGTTTATAAATCTTTCTTATAATAGGTTAGAAGGTGAGATTCCCAACGGTGGACCTTTTACAACTTTCACAGCTCAATCTTTCATATTTAATAAAGCACTTTGTGGAAATGCACAACTACAAGTCCCACCATGCAGGAAAATGAAGAGGAAAAGGTCAAATGCAAATCTGTTTTTCATCAAATGCATATTGCCTATAATGTTGTCAACCATTTTGGTTGTTTTATTTGTGTTCCTTCTAATTAGGCGTCAAAGAAAGAATGATGGTGATCCTTCTGAAGTAAGTTCATCAATTTTACCAGCAACAAGAATGATTTCCTATAATGAACTTTCACAAGCAACCAATGGATTTGATGAGTGTAATTTACTTGGTAAGGGAAGCTTTGGTTCAGTGTTCAAAGGTATACTTCCAAATGGGATGGTTGTTGCAGTCAAATTATTTAATCTGGACTTGGAATTAGAATCAAAGAGCTTTCATGCAGAATGTGAAGCAATGCGCAATCTGCGTCATCGAAATCTCATCAAGATCATCACTAGTTGTTCAAATTTTGATTACAAGCTTTTAGTAATGGAATTCATTCCCAATGGGAGCCTTGAAAGATGGTTGTATTCTCATAACTATTGTTTAGGCTTCTTGCAAAGGCTAAATATAATGATAGATGTGGCATCTGCATTGGATTATCTGCATCATGGTTCTTCGCCAACTGTGGTTCATTGTGATGTAAAGCCTAGTAATGTCTTATTGGATGAAAACATGGTTGCCCATGTTAGTGACTTTGGTATTGCCAAACTCCTAGATGAAGGACAATCTAAAGAATATACCAACACCATGGCTACAATCGGCTACATTGCACCAGGTAATTATCCTACATGAGTAGATCATTTCCTAGTAACTTATTTATTTTGATTAAAACCATATTTTTGCATAGGAAGAACACACAGTTGAAGATCACCAAACCAGGCTGCAAAAATAAAATGTTTCAGATCACTCACTGACCATTTTATCTAAAGTTTCTTTTAATTTATAATCTCATTTGAAGTTAATGTGTTATTTGAATTGTTCTTTTGGTACTTCCATTATTTTGGATATTTTCTTTCTATTGGTCTGATGGTATAATAGCATTCTGTTCTTCCTATTTTAGTGGCTCGTCTGTGTCATATTATATATACCCGTTTACTATAAGTCCTAGGCTCATAGCTATTTCTAAAATTTTGGGTACAAATGCAATTCAATAGAAATCAGCTACTAATGATAAGTGCTTTCTGTTATTTCATCAGAGCATAGGTTTGGACTTATATATCACAATTACTTTAAAAGAAAAACAAATATGCACTACAGAGAGTGTTATAAGAAAAATTAATCTTTGTTGGATGGGCATGCAGAGTATGGATCCAAGGGGACTATCTCTACTAAAGGAGATGTATATAGTTTTGGGATTATGTTGATGGAAACATTCACAAGAAAGAAGCCAACAGATGAGTTGTTTGTTGCTGGTTTGAGCATGAAAGGATGGATTAGTGAATCATCACCCCATGCAATTACCCAATTTGTGGATTCCAATTTGTTACAGGATGAACGTATTGATGATATAACAGCATCTGTATCATCTATTTTTAGAATGGCCTTGAATTGTTGTGCAGATTTACCTGAAGAACGAATGAATATGACAGATGTTGCTGCATCATTAAACAAAATCAAGTTCATGTTTCTGAAAATTAATGACTAGCAGATATAGACATGAAATCGGTTTGTAACTTTTAAACCTTTCTCTGTACTATTGTTAATGAAAATCCATCATAAACCTTTTGAATTGCTTGATCCTACTTGAGATTTTGCATGTATACACGTAGATTTAGATAATAACACTAGTCTGTGTTTCCCATCTACTGACTTACTTTATTTCAGAATTTTTTTAAAAAGTTGCACTATTTCAGCACATATAAATACAAATTGGGTTTTATAAAAGTTATGTCGTAGGAAAAGTGAATTTATCATGTTATAGAAATTTGTTTTTCTTGCCTTAGTTTTTTTTTCTTCAAAAAATACAGGTCCCACATACAACAAACTCTTATTTTTTTCCTGTAACATGATGAATGCAAACCCCATACAAATTACATCCCTTCTAGAAATTCACAAAGAGATTAGGGGTTAGGAAGTGGCGTAGCCACGTTGTAACATGGTAATACCAATTTGTTTCAAATTTTTTTACTTATTACATATAATTATATAGTTATTATAATTTGGCCATGGCAAAAATTATAATTTGGCACTACCTAAGTAAATATAACAAAATTATAATATTTTTATCTTTTTGTCTTTATATATATATATATATATATATATATATATATATATATATATATATATATATATATAGGAACAATGCTTGATTCATTACGTATTATATTGTTGGAGGAAAGTGAAATTCTTATATTTGGAATGCTTACAGAAAATGTTAGTGCCTTTTTATATGTTTGTTTTAATATATAATCATTGGTAATTGTTCATTTGAATTTTTAATGTTATGTGATATTATTTAATAAATAATTTGGATAAATATGCTAGAATTTATAGTAAATTTTTTTCCTGATAAATTTGTATAATTAAGATAAATATTTTGATATGTTAATTTTTTTTGCACTATTTAAAATTTTTTCTTGGCTCTGCCACTGGGGTTAGAGATTTGTGCTGACTCTGGCAAGATGCTAGCATCTAACTCAACCAAAACTTAAATATATATATATATATATATATATATTTGCCCTTAGTCTTGGGTTCAGTGAATAGGGAAATTAGGTTAGTCTTATTCCCTAGCTGAGTGAATAGGCCGATATTTCGTATAGTGATAACGCTTTCTCTTTCTTATAGGGGTCTATTTTCTCTGACTTGACTCAGCTTGACCTACTTGACTCAGCGGTTAGAGTATCGCTTTCATACGGCGATAACGAGATTAACAAAAGATTTTCTCGGTGCGAAGAATAGCCCCACTCCTATATCCTCAAATATTCTATTTTAGTTAGCTACTCACTCAGTCCACAGATTCGGATTAGTCAAAATTCATTATTAGAGTTCCAATAATTAGAAAATGGATCATAAGATATTTTTTCCCCTGTAAAAAGAAAAATTCTTTTTTCCATCATTTTAAGAAAAGTAAACAAATTGGGTGGATATGTAAAAGATATTCTTTCTTTTCCATCGCTTTGATATATACTAAAAAAAATTTGTGAAATTTCACTTCTTATAACATTTTCAAATCGATCATTTTTTATATATCGCAATGGACGAATTCTTCGGTTAGAATCAAATATATATATATATATATATATATATATATATATATATATAAATTCACATTAACGAGATAAAAGAATTAATAGGGTAATATGTTAAAAATAAAACATTATGCAGATGTAAATTGACTAAACTTCAAAGGAGTTATCTATAAGATTTCAAGATTTACCGTTAAATTTAACACCATATTTAACATATTCATAGTTTATTAAAGTTCAGAAGACGAACTGCAAACAAGAAGATGGACTATGTAATATGTATTTTACCCAACATGATAACTATATAAATCAGTACAATGAAACTTGTTTCAGCCATTTATAGTTTAGTCTATAGGGAAAGAATAATATTATAATGCTACCAAGTCACTCACTCGACTTTTCAAGAATCATTTCAACTGTACAATCCATTCAACGAATAAATTAAAAAAAGATAGTTAAAATCATTTTAGAAAACGAATCACCAATCAAATTTCACTTCCCTATGTGACGGTAATTTCATTCAATATTTGATTGTCTAATCCTAACTTACAGGCTCTAAAAGCCCTTAGAATGTATTAACTTAATTTTAATTGAAGGTTCCAGCTCACTTAACTTCCATCTCTGCCAAATATTTGGTTGTATCTTAAACCTCGATCATGGTGCAAATGCTCTCAGATTTAACGTTACACATGATTAAAAGAAGCGTCGCCAAATATAATTACAGAACATTTCCAAGTATTAGCCTGTGAGGCCCTTCACTAATATATCGGCAGTAATAACATTTATTGTGCTACTTTACCAATACAAAGAATTGTAAAGTAAGCAAAACCTGAGACATACTTTGAGCTCTGTTAATGAACATATGCATCTAGGATATTTTGAAGAAAATAAGCAGTGATTCCGTTCCATGATGTCGAGACAAAGTGAAAAGCTGTTTGAGCCACAATTCAACGTAATGTATAGCTTGAACCAAAAGGAAAGTTTGGTGTACGCTCATGTAGATGCCAAACAGGATTGCAACAAATGAAAGCTCATCTCACACGTAACACAACTCCTTCAGCGTTGTAACTTCACTTTATCTTTCTAAGAGTGTTCATGTAGGTATAACTGGACAAGGCCACAAAAAGCTTGCGGAACCTGCAGAAATAAAATTAATTTGTGGATGGAGAAAAATATGTGCTGTTCGGCAATGCCTCGAGATAACTTCAAATGAAGCGTCTAAACATCTTTCACATAGATGTCATGTGTAATGGATGGCAAGATTGACAACAAGAGGAAGGATAAAGATTAAAGGAAGATAGCATCAAAAGAATAAAAATCCAACAGAACAACTTGTGTAAATTTCAAGGCAAATATTTAGTTTACAGATTTACAATAAAAACAAGGTAAAGCTTGCTTACCACACCCACTGGCTTGAGTGTTGGGCCATAGCGATAAAGCTACGACGTGAATGTTCATTTACCAAGCACTGCATTGTTTCATTTGAGTGCAGTATGGCCCAAAACATGGACAACCAGATATCAACAGGACCACTATACTTACGCAATATGTTGACGCTAACCTAAGAACAATGAAGACACCCATGAATTTGAACAAGTTCTAATAAAATAATTGGTCAAATAAGATAAGAAAATAAAATTTAGAAACATACCAGCTCCCAAACTTCAACATCTCTTTGTACGTTATCATGTAGTAGCTTGCTGCTTACAACATGGAAATTTTTTTTATATCAGAGCTAGCAGCGTAGGAATGAGAGAAAACCATATGTGACTAGGTTAATCATTGATATTTCCTCATGCAATTATCTCCCATCATATATCATTTTCTTGGATACTTTGCCAGAGATCACACAGATGAGGACTAAGAGAACTGTTAAAGAACTCACAAGGATACTTGATACTTCTAACAATAAGAAAGGCACAATAAACAGAAAACTTGCTCACAAAATATAAACAAATACTACAAGAAGGATGCATGGTCAAATCTCAATGTCGTATTTTAACGAGATGGTAATAATCTAAACCACAGCCCAACAGCTTGCAGGAGCTTTTTAAAACAAAACCTCAGTAAAATTAAAAATGAAATTGGCAGGAAATAAAAAAAGCTATTCATGGTTATTGTTTGAGTATTGAAATTTGAAATGTCTAACTTCTAAGTAAACTACTACTCCTACAAAACACAAAATAACACAAGGCTGAAAATGGGTATCATTATAGCATGGTAAAGGGTGGGGACAATGGGCTTAGAGTACTGTGTGTGCCATTATGACTCATTTATTGCTGGCTTAATTTTAAAATTATATTACATAAAATAAATCTCAAGCTGTACAAGTGCCATATCTCCAGACTTTTAACAGTTATAGTTATTCAATATTGATCAGTAGTAGTATAAAAATAGTTAAACTTACCATACTCCATAATGCACATCACGATGATTACAATGACCCGAGACACCATAGCTGTCAAAAGTAATAATCTGGCGGGAAAAGGGCAAGTGAGAAGGGGGACCTTAAAAGAGAAAATTTAAACCGAAAGTACTAGTCTGACAAAAGATTCTTATGGCAGCCCAAATGGGAACTTCATGACTCAAACTATTTTTTCTAGCCCAAAAATGACAAGAGTAGTACAGAGGCACAATCTTACCATATCAATGCAGTGATTGGTTATTTCTTCCTCAATAATCCTTGCCAATAAGCTATGGTTCCAAACTTTACCAAAACCATCCTATGTATGACAACAGGTTAAACAATAGCAATATAAGGGACTACCAATAAGATTTGAAATAATACTAAATTTTATAACTTCCAGAGACCTATTGGATTAAAACCTGCAGATCTGGATGGTTGACAATCTTCACTCGTTGCATTGGAACCTGTGTACATAGTTTCCAATGTCATACAAACAATACCCTCATTAAATTGCTAGACATAGTTTGTCATCTTCAACTTATGTAAAGAAAATTATCAAGAAAACGCTGCCTAGGTTTCCCAAGAAATTTTTGTTCTGAGATTGGAAAGCGGAAGGTATGAGTCTATGACCACTAAATGATCAAAGGAAAAAAAATATATTAAATAGTTTAAGGACAGGGGCAATGTCTAATATTTAAAGAGAAGCTCTGATTTTATGTTTGAAGCCACAACTATTTTCAGCAATTTTGTAAATCACCTTGAGGGCTACACAAGCCTGAAAAAGCTCTTGTTTTCTGATATTTCCTTTGCCATCTGCATCACCTACAGAAAATAATAATAATAATAAAAAACAAAAATATCTAACGGGTTGAAACATAAACATTGAATCATTCTTGAGTCTAAGCTTGAAGCTTTGGGTTTGTGACATCCACAATCCCATATCTAACATTCTCGGATAGATTTCTTGCCCCTACAGCTTTCATATGCAAAAATAAATCTTCAACTAGTTAAAGCTCTTTTAATAGAAATACATGAAGAAAAAATAACTCTTATTATGTAAAGAGTGAAAATTGATAACAAGAGTAAACCTGAATTGTATCGCTCAGGCTATAGCCAGATTCATAATGCTACAATAGTCTATTAGTTTGATAAATATATGTCTATTATCATCTGATCAATAATATTGGAATTTTTTTCCATATTATCTATTGTAACTAATATCAGTCCCAAGGTGTGGATGTATGTGAAGTGGTATCGTATGTTTCATTAATAATATAAAACTCTATAGACTAATAATGGCACAAAATTAAACTCTTTTTCAAGACAATAAAGCACTAGCTCAGTTGTTGAAGGGAACCCTTGGAAGGAGAATTCAATCCTTTTCTCCGTTTGTGTTTCAGTCATTAATAACAGATTTCCATAATCCATCTATTCTTTTTCTGTTCTCTACTATCTTTTCGCTCCCTTACTTGTGGTTCCTAAGTCCTAACAAATTACAAGAGGGAGAAAGAAAAAGACAATTATTTAAAATCAATTAAAATGTTGAGTACTAACTGACATTTTCAAAAAGCACAAAAGATCAACATAAACAAATAGATTGTCCAAAGTTAATCACCAATAGATAAGCAAAGTATTTGAACACTGTGCCCCCTTGAAGTCAGGAAATTTATAGTTGGAGTAAAGAACCTGCAGAAATGAAACAAATCTTCAACATAATGTGACATTATAATGTAGAAATTTGAAAACATATACTTCTACATCAAAGGCCTTCATTATACTACAACTCTAACATCAAAAAATTGAAAAACTAAAAAAGAGGCAATTTTCTGAAGTTAAAAAAGTCACATTGACACCATGCTAGATTCACATACAACGAAAATGTTGTTTAAGTATGACATAAAATGCACTTTTGTACAGTATAGATTAGGAAGTTAGTCTTCAATTTTATTTTATTTTAATTTTTAACCTAGTTTTCTGGATCATCCTCAGTACAATGATAGATAAAATTTTGAAGATATTCCTTGCATCCCAATTTCTAGCAAATAATATAGGATTTTGTATCAGAGGACCAGTTGAATATTATGGAAGGAATGAAGTTCTAAAATTGGTCATTGATAGACCTCATGCACCAAGAGCTATAGAAAATGAAGAGAAACTTTCTAGAGAAGGTGAAACCATGAATAGTGGGACCAGCACCAGCCCTAGGCCCAGACTAACTTTTAAGCGACAATAGCATAGGATGAATATATTCATGTCTGAATCAGATGTTAGAATGAAGAATATAGGTTGTTTAATTCATGTATAACACATGATTTTGTCATAGTGGGTAAAGGAATTAGTTGGCATAATAGAATGATAGGATGATCTGGAATATTCTCTAACATTGTATAAATATTCTCCCAATTAATAAAAAAGCATGAAGAAGTCATTTCCCAATTTTCTATCTGATTTTTGGAGGTTAACTCTGCCTCAAACCAAGTTGCTACCCTACCCCTATTAGTCATACTGAGGAATCCACTGTGCATTGAACTTCATATAACTTGTTTCAGCCATTCTCTATTAGCTTTAATTTTTCAGATTACAGATATGCAATCAACAACGGTTACTATTTCTATGACTAATTGATCAAGATAAAATGTGTTACTAGCTGACACACACCAAAAACTTATATGACATTTCCCATAACAAATAACCAAAAGTTTTCTTCAAATGAGACAATGATATTAAAGGAGCATCAATGCATAATCAGTTTGAAAAGATATTACAAAAAGCTGAGGTGAAGGCACAATAAATAGAACCACCAATTTAACCAAATGCCTAAAACCAAAACAAACTAAAGCAGCATTTGTCACAAATAAGGTAGCATAAATGTATTAGAAATCTCAAATTAGAGGGTATAAAGCTACTAAATGATTTACATCTCAGTTCCATGAAAAAAATCAACATTACAAATAACAAAATTGCGGTTTCAAACTTACATGGATTCATCATCAGGATGAGCAATAACCAACAAGACATTTCTCTTCACAAAAGCTCTGCCTGAAAACAAGCTTGGAAAACCAAAATTGAGAAAGAAAAAAAAAAAGGAAAAGAAGGAGAAAAAAATAAAATAGAAAACTAACCATTATGCGTAAAATGTTTGGTGAAAGGGATGCGCGAGAGAAGGAGAATATTGCATAGAGAAATGATCCACAGAAAAATGAGAGAAGAAAATATCAGAACCCACGCCATCTAGGTTGAATTTGCACCTGAATAAAGCAGCAATTAATGATTGTTAAAAATAGATAGCATTTTACTCAGATTTTCTGGTCAACCAAACAGAGAAAGTTGCAACTTGCAAGAGTAGAGAGAATCCAAAAGGAAATTGGAAAGGGTCTAAGAGCAGATTTAAGAGAAGCATAGCAAAACGTTATTCTTTTATCCACTGGATCCGGGGCCTTACAAGAATATGCTTGGTTTACATGTGGGATTGATGGAATCATGGAAATAGAAGCGATGGAAAGAATTATTATTTGAATTTTCCTACCTCTTTTATTATCAAATTTTAATTATTTTTTTATTAATTTAACAGTTATAATTTATTAAAATTAATAATTAATTATTAAATATAACTTAATAAATTACAACTGTTAAATTGACGAAAATCAATAATTAAAATTTAATAATAAAAGATAACAAGAAAAAGAAATAATAACTATACCTCCCAAACATGGAATGAAATGAAAATCGTATATATTTTAATAACTTTTTTCTTTCGTAATTTGGGAATGTAATGAAATTAATCTATTTATTATTTTTATTTACTTTTTAATTAGAAATAAAAAATTATTCAATTTGTATTATATAATTCAAATAATTATATGGTAATTTTGTTCTATTTTATTTACAACATTTTATTTTATAATATATTACTCATTTTTTAGATATTTAAATATAATCTTATAAATTGAAACGTGAACATGACAAAATAGAATATAATGAAATAAAAATATTTTATTTCCATTGATTTTTATACTATTTAATGATATTAAGATGCGTTATGTTTGTTGATTTAGTGACCTTCTACTTGGGGTGTAAACGGGTCAGGTTACGTAAAATTTTGACTTTGATCCTAAGTTTATGTAAAAAAATTAGAGCCTATATTAGCTTATTAGATATTTGATTTATAAGTTTGGTCTGACTTATTATTAAAAACAAAAAAGACTAACATGACCTGTAAGACCTACCAAATTGCAAACTAAAATTTATAACAATGTTATTAAATCTGACCTGATCATTTGACCCAGTCGAGTACTGACATAAAAAAAAATAACAACTTGTGTTATGCAAAAATAACAACTTATGTTATGCATGAGATGCAATTCCTAAAGCAAAAAGGACTGATTGAAAATTGGTCACATTATTAAAAATAACTCTTGAATCCATAAGCTTTTGATCATCTTCCTCTATTTGCTTGAGACCTAAATACATAAAAAACAATAGCCGTAGGTCTATAAGCTCTTGATCACCTTGATATCTGTTGATAAAAAGAACAACTACATGTGCAGGTCTATATCAAAATATTATGCATCATCAAAATATCGCATCATCAAAATATCACATCTTCAAATCCAACTTCCTCACTCCTATCGCCAAGTGAGCAAGGAATTAACGAAGAAGTTCTTCCATCACTTAGGACTCGTTTGGATGACTTTTTTTTTTCAAAAGTTTTTTTTTATTAAAATAAAGCACTTCTCATTTTTAGTTTGTTTGAATGTCTACTTTTGCTTGAATGTCTACTTTTACAAAAAGCAGAAGTCACAAAAAAGCCAAAAACCTATTTTTGCCGAAGCTAAAAATTTTAACTTCTAGAAAAGCAGAAGTCAAAAATCAAATTTTTTTTTCAAAAATTAAATATTTTTATAAAGATATAAATAACTTTAACTTTTGTAAAAGCACTTCTAAAATAAGAAAGAGATAAAAATTATATTTTGAAAAGGCCAAATAAACAGGCTCTTAGAAATTAGAATTTTTTTTTTTTTGGTATACAGAAGTTAGAACTTTTTTTTTTTTTTTGGGTATGCGAAGTTAGAACTCTTTAATTGCCCAAAAAAACTTTTGTTATCGCAAAATTATATGATTAAATGGTTAATTAATTATAATTACATTATATTTTTTATTCATAGTTATAAAATAACTATAAAATTTAATAAAAAAATATATCATTATTATTAATAAATTATAAATTATAAACAATAAATTATTAAATAATAAATATTAAAATAAAAAATATCAAAATCTTATCGGTATACTTTTTTTAACGCAAACAAACCTTTATATTATTAAGAAATATTTTTCTTATGTTGTTGAAAATGAGTTATCTTATGTTAGTGAAATAAAATTATAAGTAGGACCCGCAAATAATTGGAGAAAAAAAATATATAAGTGGGACTCACTTTTGTTATGTATGTGTAGGAATTTGATTTATATCATGTTGAATGAGATAAATATAATCCTATATTATTTTGGGAGAATGATCTATATACAAACTCTTTTTACAAACTTTTGCAAATTACACTGTGTACTCCCGGAAGAACATAATGTAACCTAGTGTTCTCACGGGAGAATATAGTGTAGTTTAGAAGAATTTGTAAATAAAAAGTTTGTAAATATGAATGAAGATATTCTAACTACTAAAAATTCTCACTACTAACTTACTACACATCACATCACCATTGGATTATATCCAGGTATCCCCACATCCGATAACCATGAGACTAATCCCTCGTCTCGGGTCAGCCCACAAAGCTGTAAAGAGCTGGTCACGGAATGTTTTCCATTCACAAGAGTTAGGATTCGAACCCCCAACCATTTGCTTAAGGGACGAGATACTGAACCATCACGCCCAGTGATGGATCCAGAAATTTGAAGAAGGGTGGGCACTCAAATAACAAATGACAAAAATAAATCAATAAAAAAAGGGAGAGAAACTGACACTCAAAATGCATAATCTAGTAAAGTATTATAGTAAATTTAGCTTTATTATTTTAAACCAAAATATTATTTGTGCAAGCAATCTTGTTCCGACTATAATATCATTTGTGCAAGCTAGAGCACTTCGAATAAAAATTTAATTAAAGAATAAAATAGGAAGGGGGACAACTATTTTATAGTTCTTAAGAGGACAACTTTTCTATATAATCAAAGAGAAATGAGACCTAAAAGCTAAAAGCTAAAAGTTAAAAGCAAACAATTAACAATTATTAAGCAAGCTAAAAGCAAACAGACAAGCTACAAGTGAGTCACACGGGGAAAACAAGGAAATCAAGTAATTCAAACTAGCAAAGATGGACGGTACCAGACCAGAGGCGGACGCAGAAAGGAAGGTGACTGATGAGCTAAAAAACTTCCACAGAATGTGAAAAGAAAGAGATAAAATAAATAAACTTGTTTGTACCAAAAAAATAAAAATAAATAAATAAATAAATCTGGATCTGGATCTGGGTGGTTATGGGTGAAGTGAAGATTTCCCGTATGCTTGACCAGTTGACCCCAGCCACCTTCATCCTTTATGTGCTGCAAACCTTCAAAAATCATATATAAATAAAGAGAACAAATCAATAGTACAAAAATGGTATACAGCTCTCTCCTCTCCGTCTCCGATGAGGCATGACTGCTTCTGCTTAGGTTTGGATTTAGTCTAATGGAGGTGGCTAGGTCTGGTCACGGGTGGAGGAGAAAAAGCCAAAAAAAAAAAAAAAATCACATTAAAATTTAAGGGTGGGCACTTGTCCTCTTTCTATTCTTCTTACATCCGCCTCTGATCATGCCCACCCACGTGGTTATGTTATGTTAAAAAGCTTTTGAAAAAAGAAAAAATGTTAGATGAGATAAGTAATAAGTTAGTAGTACAAAAAATTTGGTAGTGAGAATATCTCTTTTCTATAAATATAATCCTCCCCATTATTTTGTATTATAATTATGCGTATCAAATAATATACGAGCGATCTGAATAAACAATTGAACATGGTTTTCAATTTAATTCTGTCATGCTTTTGTCCCTAATCACTCTTCACAACACCAGGCCATGCCATGCCATGCGAGCGATCAATTTAGACTCACTGAACCAAGTTGTGTTTTATGATAACACATTAATTAACCAAAAGTACAAAAAAGGAAAGTGCTCTCACTTTCGGTGTTTGACTCTTGCATTTCAAGCAAATAGTAACCTTTCACTGCTATCTATAATTATTGAGTTTTGTCAAATGGGGTAGTGGGTAATCACATGAACTCATTTCACTAGCCAAGTGGTTCTTATGATAAGATTATGGGTTTTGTATTTGTATTTTAGATGAGATGAGTCTCATAGAGATAATAAGCATGTGAATTCTGTATCTTAGAAAAAGTAATGTGTGGGACTCATTTCAGGGTGTGTAGGAAAATTCTGTCCTCCTCATGTTTGATGAAAAGTATAAAAGCGTAACATTATTGGGTGTTTGTAGACTGAACTATACTTTTACTTCCACTTGCACTTCGTCTTCTCTAGTTTATCTGTTACCTTTTCTTTTCTCTATCGCTCCATTCTAGGGAAGATGGATTCAATAGTTTCAGGGTTTTTAACCACTATGTTGGATAGGGTAGCAACAAGAGCTTTCCAAGATATTTCCATGGCAAGGGGTCTCCATGCTGATGTGGGGTCCCTCCAAAACTCTCTGAGAATCTTCAGTGCCTTCATTGTTGATGCTGAGAACAAGCAAACAGAAAGCCAAAGCATATTGGTGTGGCTGCAGCAGCTCAAAGATGCTTTCTTTGATGCCCGTGACATCTTGGATGAGATTGAGTGTGAGGCCTTGAGGAATCAAGTTGTGAAGAGACATGGAAGCTTCACCAGTAAGGTACACCTCTTTTTCTCATCCTCTAACCCTCTTGCATTTCGTGTTAAGATGGCAAAAAAAATCAAGGACATCAAGGAGAGAATAGATGAGATAGCTTCTCTTAGGATGAAGTTGGGTCTCTCAGTCTCAGAGAATCATGTGAGTAATTATGTGCTGCCACTCAATCAGAAGATGGCTTGGAGGGAGACACATTCTTATGTTAGGCCTTCCCATGTGATTGGTAGAGATGAGGAGAAAGAAAAGATCATTGAGTCTTTGATGGCTCCACCATCAGATGGTGATGGTATGGATGTTATTCCAATTGTTGGAATTGGAGGGTTGGGGAAGACCACACTTGCCCAATTGATTTACAATGATGATAGGGTGATTGAGCATTTTGATTTGCGGATGTGGGTGTTTGTGTCTGAAGATTTTGTTGTTAAGAGACTGGTACTTGATATTCTTAAAGCTATGCATGGAATAGATGTAGATGCTCCCAACTTTAGTTTTGATCAGTTACAAAATCTACTTCGTGAGGGATTACATGGGAAGAAATCTTTACTTGTTCTTGATGACGTTTGGAATGAAGATTATAGAGGGTGGCTTGAATTGAGAAATCTTTTAGTAGGGATGCATGATGAAAATAAAAAAATTGGTAACAAGATTATCACAACCACTCGTAGTGACAAGGTTGCTTTGATAATGGGGAATGTTTATAAACACAACCTGAAATATCTTCCTGAAGAAGATTGTTTAAAGCTATTTGTTAAGTGTGCATTTCCAGCAGGAGAGGAGAAACAGCATCCAAGGCTTATGGAAATTGGGAAGGAGATTGCTAGAAAGTGCAAAGGGGTGCCCCTGGCAGTGGTGAGTTTAGGGTGCTTGCTTTACTCAAAACTTGATGAAAGTGAGTGGAAGAAAATAAGAGATAGTGAAATTTGGAAAATGAAACAAGAAGATGATGGCATTTTGGCTGCATTAAAACTAAGCTATAATCACTTGCCATCTGAATTGAAACAATGTTTCTCTTATACTTCAATTTTTCCTAAGGGTTATGAGTATACAAATCTGGAGTTGATTTCATTTTGGATGGCCCATGGACTACTACAAACCAAAAATGAAGATCAAGAGCCTGAAGATCTTGGGGAGTTTTATATTCAGGAGTTGGTTTCAAGATCTTTCTTTGAAGGTGCTCCTGAAGAACAGGTGGTCATGGATGGTCTTATTTTTGAAGAACTTAAGCTTCTAGGCATCTCCTTTTTCAAAATCCATGATCTTGTTCACGACCTTGCTGTGTCCACAATGCAAAGTGAAAGGGCAGTAGTAAAATTTAATTCAACAAATGTTAAAGAAAAGGTGCAGCATTTATCATTTTCAGAAAGTGGTGAAGGAGTTCCAACTTTTGGTCAAATGTTAAATAAGGTCCGAACCATTGGATTCTGGCATGCAGGTCAAAGTGCAGATGCAATCACTGAACCATTTGTCAAGTGGATCTGCAAGGAATTCAAGTACCTCAGGGTGTTGAATATACAAGGTTCAAATTTTCAATTCTTGCCGGATTGTTTCAACAAAATGAAACATTTGAGGTATCTTAATCTAAGCTATTGCCAGAGAATGGAAAAACTCCCAGATTCCATTTGCAAGCTCCAAAACCTCGAGGTTTTAAATCTATGTAGATGTGTATCACTTAAATGTATTCCAAAAAACTTGAGGAATCTTATCAGCCTTAGGATTTTGTGGATTACCACACAAGCCACTGATTTGTCTTTCATAAGTATTGGGAGCTTGAAATATCTACAAATTTTAATTTTGTGGAATTGTGAAAATTTAGTCTTCCTTCCACGTGATTTAAGACACTTGACTGCTTTAAAGAGGCTGAGTATTGAGGATTGTGAAGAGGTGATTAGTTTTGAGGATGAAAGAGAAGAAGAAAATGAAAACTACTCCTTGAAACTTGAACAGTTTTCAATTGATAAATTGCCCAAATTGACTGCTTTACCTGGTTGGCTTAGAAGATCTACAAAAACTTTGAGATACATGGGTCTTTCAGAATGTCCAAGCTTAAGGGCATTGCCAGAATGGTTGCCAAGTCTAACATCTCTTGAAACGCTTCTCATTGGTGATTGTCCAAACTTGACACTACCCCAGCATATGGATCGTCTTCATAACCTTCAGAACTTAAAGATATATGGATGCCCTCAGCTAGTTGAGAGATGCAAAAGAAATTCAGGCCCTGACTGGTCCAAAATAGCTCATATCCCAAATGTTGAAGTAAGTGTGCATTGCTGATTTCTATTTGCTTTATTTTTCTTGTATACTTGGTGCTTATTTATTCTGCTTGTCTAGTTGAATGCTATTTTTAATGTTAATGCAAAGCAATTTGGATTTTAGGCTTCACTGTTGACAACTTTAAATTATGAGCTGAATATAGGTTAACAATTAGTCTGCTGTGTTCCTAGGACTGAATTATGTACCAATCCTTAAAATTTCCTTTAAATCTTATTGGATTGAGTTATTGCAAAAGTAGAAAATTTACATTGTTTTATTGTATGGATGTAAAACTTGCATTTTTAACTGGAACAATTCAAAAGTAACAAGCTCAATATAGTTTTAAGAGGATCTTAAATCCATAGCTGAGTTGAACCACTAGAAACAGCAATATTGACAAGGGCATCTGCAACTATGTTGCATAATCTAGTATTGTACCCTATGTCCCATTCATCAAACCAAAATGCATACATAATTCCAGATTAATCTCTCTTGCTAAAAAGTCATTAGAAGAGAAGTCTTTTTCTCCTATTCATAGAGCACAACAAACCCTCATCACATTCCAAATACATTTCCCTGAAGCTAAACCTGGTTTCAATTCCACCATCATCCTTACAGAAGAACCAAGTCTAATCTAGTGAAAGGACAAGGGCAAATTCCGGTGCACAAGGCTCCCTTATATTGTATGCAGTTTTAACCTTATATTTTTTAAAGATGTTGTTTTCCATACTCAAACCCGTGACCAACCTTAATGCTATTTCAAGACTCGTCCTCTAAAAAATCATTCCCCATTTTTGCAAAGAATCTATTTCTTGGATTCAAACTAGTGACCCAGTGAAGGGACAATTAAGATATAAATGGGAAGCTTTTTCCTCGTAATGATGGAACAGGGAGTAACCTTTAGGTACCTTCAATTGATCAATTCACCTGTTTGCTTGTAGTGTGTCTGTTGGAAGAATATCTCTTCAATTAACTTCTATAAACAATAAATAAACCCTGGGGATAGCAAATTTGGCTTTTGATATTACTATAACAATTAAGATTTGTCATTACCTACACACATTAGGACCCTTTGCTGGACAACTTTTTTTTTCCTAGTTTAGTTCCTCCATGAACTACTTGTTCGTATTTGCTTGTTACTGACTTTGTTTTCTTTTTTCTTTTGGTTACAACATGCAAGCTTGCCAGCGTTTAGGATCTCTGATAATTTAGTACAAGCACAATCATGGAGGCGGTAGAGACTTTGAAGTTTGCTCCAAATATGTATACGTATTTTATGTTTTCTGTATGTGTGCACTATTTTTTATGATTGTTTCAATTTTATTTTCTCTCTTTCCTATTCATTTTAAAGTTATGTAACGGAGATAACTTGATTAACCTTGTAGAGGAGGAGCACTATTCAATAAAAATTGCGAGCTCTTGCCATTGATAAATAGACACTCCAAGCCAAGTCTGAAATTTCATTATTTTGGAATATTAATTGAACATAATTTTAATCAAAATGTCAACAGCAGGATTGTAAATGGCTGGAATAACACAACTATGTTATCCATTTTTTATATTTGCTTTGGCCTTATAATCCACCATATTATATTGCTCTAACAACACATCACGATATTTTGCTCTAATAAGTTTTAAATACTAAGATACCTTCATTTGCCGGTCTCATATTCTACTATTTGGTAATTACATAAAAAATTTTAGCTTAAAAGCACATATTTCAAGAAAATTATCTCTCTCTATCTTTATAACTCTTCATTTAAAAAAAAAACACACAATTCAAGAAAAGCAGATAAGAGCTTTAAAAAAAGCTCCTAGGAGGAGCTTTTAGCTTTTACTTTTTTTCTTCATTATGAAAAAAAGAGTTTTTCATTATAAGAACTTTTCCCAAAATCTGTTTGGCAACTTATGCTTATAAGTAGCTTCTAGTTTTAAAAAGAGAGGATCCAAACAAACACTAAACCTAACATTCAAATCATAACATGGAAAATGACACTTTAATTAAAGGACAATGGAATTCTTATGTTGCAGCATGAGGATTTTACTTCCCGTACAAACAACTAGGTGGGGGTCCCATTGGAAGAAAAATAAAAAAAGGCTAAAATATAAGTTACCTCCTTGAACTTTGACCATGTTTTAAATTACCCCCTTGTATTTTTAATTGTTTCAATTAATCCCATGTACTTTATAATTGTTTCAAATCAACATTTTTGTTAAAAAATTTACATTTGAAATCAACCTTTTACACCCTAAGCCCCAAATCTCAAAAATTTCTTCTCTCTTTTCTTCTACGTTCTCTCATCTCTTATTACAATAGTTTGGGATGATTTCGATTTGAATCGGAGAAGATTAATGTGTCTCTTTTCTTCTATGTTCTCCTAAGGTCTCTCTTAAAAAATATTAACATCTTCTATGCTATGATTTCTGGGTATATGAGGATGGGAAAACTTGACGATGCAAAAGAACTCTTTGACAAGATGCCTGAAAGGAACTTGAGATCTTGGAATGTAATGCTCAGTGGATATGTTAGGAACAACAGGTTTGGGGATGCCCAGAAATTTTGACTTAATTCCTGAAAAGGATGTTGTTTCGTGGACTTCCATGTTAAAAAGGTATGCTCATAAGGCAAAAAAATTTAAATAATTCTTTTTAATTAAATAATTACGCATTTATTGCAGTTTTGCGAATAATTACACATTTATTGCACAATGTGACGCCCCTTTTAGGCGTCACATGTGTGCCCTATATATACCCCCTTTTTTACCATTTCACTTCTCACTATTTCACCTCTCTCTAACCTCGGTTTGTGCTCCCGACCGAACGCGAAGATTTTCGTAGCGAAGCTTTGCCAACTTAGGTAAGTTCGTAATACCTGCTATGTATACGTTTAAATTACAATGCTACCTTGCGAACATGTTATGATTTATCGTGTATTAGAGACTTAGAACATTAGGATAGTCACTTAGAAATTTTGTACCATGCTATGAATGTTGTAATGATATAGTAATTTTTTTATTACGTAGTTATGATTATTAATACATATTTATGATGTTATTTTGTGATAGTGATTTAGAAAATAGTGATAGTGACTTCGTAAATTTTGTATGATGTTATTAATGCGAGAGTGTGTTGATAATTTTGTAGTCAGTTAGGTGTGATGATTAGTACATATTTATGAACTTATTAGTGACTTAGGGTTAAGTATTATGTCAGTATGATTTAATTTATGTCTGATGTTCTATTATAATTTAATTACAAATAAATGACTGTACTACGTATTAATAATATTTCATTAATGTCGATTCTAGTAAAAACGTAGGGTTTATGCTTAATTTTGTTGATAATAAATTAGGGCATTGCTTAATTAATTTGTACATAAAATGTCTTGTTACATGTGATTAATTTCATTGTTGTTTTATATTATGGTGAGTTTAGGATCATGGTTGATTCATCATCATCTTCGGGTTCTGCATCGGATGCAGAGCCTACCGATCCTAGCATGTACATCATATATGGGCCATATAGATAGGACGTCCTTCGTAAGAGGACGCAGCGTGCCCATATTTCACGAGTATGGAATACGGAGCATGTGAGGAGATTGAAGACCAGGCGTGGGAAACCACAGGGGGGGCACCTACTGGGGCTATTCCAGAGGTGGTCACAGACTACCTCACACAGGCTGGATTTATCCATGTTGCCCAGATGCGACATATCCAAGTATGCGATTTACGATGTTTTGTATTTATGTAATTATTCAATACCATTCGTTAACACGTGATAATTGTATAACTTATTTCAGATCGATGCCCCATTAATTAGTGCTCTGGTCGAGAGGTGGAGACCAGAGACACATACATTCCACATGACGCAAGTGAGATGACTATCACCTTACAAGATGTGGCCGGCATATTGGGATTTCCCACTGAAGGTATTGTCGTTACTGGATCTACAAATGAGGATTGGCCCGCTGTTTGTGCTGCTATTTTTGGCGCGGTTCCACAGGCCAATGAGTTCCATTATTCAGGTGACCTCCGCATCTCATTCTTAGATCGGTTATATACCCAGTGGACTGATCATGCTGGGGATCATGATCGCGAGATATATTTCACAAAGGCGCACATTGCCCGCATGTTGGGGTGTTGGTTGCTGGCGGACAAGTCTGGAGGTAGCAACATCGGTTGTCGGCTAGTCCCGTTGCTTGGGGGAGGATTTGATGAGATTGGCCATTTCAGCTAGGGATCTATTACTCAGATTGGGTATATTGATGAGGCAAAGAAGATTTTTGATAGGATGTCTGCTAAGGATGACTTCTCCTGGAATGTGATGCTTTCAGCATATGTTAAGAATGAGAGAATTGAGGAGGCTTTTCAGTTTTTTGAGTCAAGATCAGACTGGGATGAGGTTGCCTGGAACACAATGATTTTATGTCATGTCATGCGTGGAAATATGTCAGAAACTAGGAGATTGTTTGACAAACTTGGAGAACGTAATGTGATCGCGTGTACAACAACGATGTTTGGCTTATTGCATGATGGAATGCTTGAATACGCAAAAAAATATTTTGATATGATGAGTAAAAAAGATGGGATATCATATTCTGCGATGATTAGTGGTTTTGCTCGTAACGGTTGCTGTGGAGAGGCTTTGGATACTTTTAAAGATATGGAAAAAGATAGAAAAAGTTTAAATAAGCCTAATTTTAGGATTTCACATTTTTCCAGCCATGAGTTACCTTCGATTATTTGGAAATTGGGAATAAACTATATGTCCATCATTTCCTATCTTTTAGTGTGTTATTCTAGACTTCCTAAGATTTCCAACAAGGTATCGTGCATCTCAATCAGAGTTGTATAACTCAAGATATGCTTCCTGCAAGACAGTGATTCAAATCTGTTAACACACTGCGAACTGGACACAAACATCCCTCACGGTTTTTGACATTTCAGGAGTTACACAAATCAGATTGCTCTCAAATTTGAATATGTTGTAGTAGACACCTAGACCTTTAATTTGAGGTATCATAAACCTAATTTGATTAAGAAATGAGAGAGATATGAATTTTTGAAATTGGCAGACATAGAGCACCATGCATTTCGCAATTTTGGGCAGTCTGCACTCAAACCATTTCTAGGATTGATCTATTACTCAGATTGGTCTCAAATTTTAGGATAATAAAGAGGACATCCTAAACTTTTTATAAGGTCTCATAAGCCTAATTTGATCAAGGGATGATGGAGATATCAATCTCCAAAGTTAGAGGTAAACATCCCCACATTTTTTTCAAAATTTTTGGCAATATGCCTTTGTTTCTTACAATTTATGTTCATTCAATGTTTCAAACCATTCTCACAAACTTTTCAACACATAACAAACCTAAATATCATCAATATAAATAATTTAAAATATCAAATCCTCAAAAATCCTACGGTGACCGAAATGGTATGGATGGATTTCATGAGAATTTTTCAAATTTCAATCATTTACACATGCTTTCTTAGCACTTAATCCATAGATGAGAATAATCTCTCAAGTTTTAACCACATAATCATGTATTTTCCTTTTTCAAGGAAATCCTTTAATCCTCATCAACTTCAAATTCATGGAATCAAATATCCAACTATAGAAGCCCTGTCTCTTACAATGCTATGATTTCTGGGTATATGTGGATGGGAAAACTTGACGATGGAAAAGAACTCTTTGACAAGATGACTGAAAAGAACTTGAGATCTTGGAATGTAATGCTCAGTGGATATGTTAGGAACAACAGGTTTGGGGATGCCCAGAAATTTTTTGACTTAATTCCTGAAAAGGATGTTGTTCCGTGGATTTCCATGTTAAAAAGGTATGCTCAGAATGGGTATGTTGATGAGGCAAAGAATATTTTTGATAGGATGTCTGCTAAGGATGACTTCTCCTGGAATGTGATGCTTTCAGCATATGTTAAGAATGAGAGAATTGAGGAGGCTTTTCGATTTTTTGAGTCAAGATCAGACTGAGATGAGGTTGCCTGGAACACAATGATTTCATGTCAGGTCATGCGTGGAAATATGTCAGAAGCTAGGAGATTGTTTAACAAACCTGGAGAACGTAGTGTGATCGCGTGTACAACAACGATGTTTGAAGATGGAATGCTTGAAGATGCAAAAAAATATTTTGATATGATGAGTAAAAAAGATGAGATATCATACTCTGCGATGATTAGTGGTTTTGCTCGTAACGGTTGCTGTGGAGAGGCTTTGGATACTTTTAAAGATATGGAAGAAGATGGAGAAAGTTTAAATAAGCCCAATTTTAGGATTTCACATTTTTCCAGCCATGAGTTACCTCCGATTATTTGGAAAATGGGAATAAACTATATGTCCATAAATTTCCATCTTTTAGTATGTTATTCTAGACTTCTTAAGATTTCCAACAAAGTATCATGCACCTCAATCAGAGTTGTATAACTCAAGATATGCTTGTTGCAAGACAGTGATTCAAATCTGTTAACACACTGCGAACTGGACACAAACATCCCTCACAGTTTTTGACATTTCAGGAGTTATACAAATTAGATTGCTCTCAAATTTTAATATGTTGTAGTAGACAGCTAGACCTTTAATTTGAGGCATCATAAACCTAATTTGATTAAGAAATGAGAGAGATATGAATTTTTGAAATTGGTGGACATAGAGCACCATGTATTTCGCAATTTTGGGCAATCTGCACTCAAACCAGTTCAACGTAGAAGAAAAGAGATTTTTTTTTTTTTTTTAGATTTGGGGCTCAAGACATGTGAGGAGGTGTAACAGAGATTGTAAAATTTTTAATAGAATTGTTGATTTGAAACAATTATAAAGTACAAGAGGATAATTTGAAACATGATCAAAGTTCAAGGGTGTAATTTATATTTTAGCCTAAAAAAACATAAAAACATGCGGCGCATCTTTTGAAGGGAGAGCTGGAAAAAAATTCTAGTTCCTGCAACATAAGATTTGATTTTCCCTTTAATTAATGGGTTAAACAAATAAAAACAAGAGAAATGCCTCCAGTTCACATTCATTATGGACCTGGACTAGTCAGCCCAATCTGAGCCCAAATAGTTCTTTCATTTTTTGGAATTTATTTAAAAAAAATAAAAAAGATTATAACTTTGTCTGTCTTCCCACTTCCGCAAATGATAAATTTCATTATAAAATAATTAGAATCATTTGAATAATAATATAATTTTAATTTTTTCTCACGTATAATATATTAGAAAAAAAAATACGATACAAAATAGTGCACATATGGTTACTTATAAAGTTTGCAACAATCAAACACAAGCGGTTAGGGACACTGCCCCATCCATTCTATAACCACGTGCCCTTCCTCACTGATACAGCGCATGTACTTAACATAACTATGTATTATTATTACATTTTATATTTCACCATGCTTCGCTTTCTTTCTTAAGTTTCAACACTTTTTTGTCCTCAATTGGTAAACAAGTTCTGAACTCAGCCCACGAGAAAGTCATCCATCAAACGAATATGATGAAGGCACACTCTTTTCATGCAAGAGGCAGATTAGTGTGTGTGACACCCCATTAAGTTCATTGTCATTTTGCTGGGAAATAAGAACTTGTATATATATGTAGGTACATGGGTTACCTATCATGTGTTTAAGTGAACAGCATATTATAAATAGGGTTCATTTTTCTGCAGTTATTGCAGATAATTTATTTACAGTAAGCCCAATACGACGTCGTTTCGGGACGAAAATTATAGTATTTTTGTAATTTTAATTTATTTCAGGATTATTATAGTCTTTATAATTATAATTTTCTAATCTTTCAATCCCAAAACGACGTTATTTTTGAAGTAAATGCAGATAACTTATCTGCACTAATTGCAAAAATATTTTTTTGTTATAAATATGCCATGTCTAAACACTAGAGAGAAAAAATTATACGAACGTGAAAATTTGGAGAAATGTGAAGCCAGTTAGGTCAATTCTCTATATATGAAAATCAATGAAAGAGGAATTGTAGATACATTTATGGAAAAATATACTCTTATGTTGTAGGAAAGTGTTTTTCTCTCTTACACATACATTAATTTTCGTGTTACTTTTTTATCTTTTTTTTCTTTTTCTATAGTGAGTGAATTTCACATATGATTGTCGCTACAGTATGAGAGAACTTCTCTCCTATTACATGAGATTAATAAAACTCATCATTTATATCGCAAATCTTTGTGAATAAGAAATTTTCACATGATCTTTATTCATGAAATGTTCATGTGATCTTTATGAATATTATTTCACGTGTTCTTAATAAAAATATTATTTTATGTAATCTTTGTGAATAAGAAATTTTACCTTTTATATTTTAATTTAGTTTAGGCTTATAAACTTTAGTTTGAAACTTGGTAGCTTTAGTGTTAGGCTTTTGAGTTTTTTACAATAGGTCAGGTCAGACCTATAAATTAAGTCTTTAATAGACTAATAGATCATAATAGACTTTTAATATTTTGCATTAACTTAGACTATCCAAGTCAAAACCTGACCTAGCCTGACATGTTTATACCCCTACCTGTAAGAATTTGGATATTCCAAATGAGCCACGTGGCTTATTGTTTGTATTGAACAAAGATTTGTTTCCAATTTTGTTTCTCACGTTTTAGTATGGGAATAAATTTTATATGCTTATGGAAGAATTGTTTTTTCTCGGAGATTTTCAACTACTATATTAAAAACAACAAAAACACATAGGATGCACGAATTAGCGAAGTAGAAATAGTAGAAATCCATTATTGTTACAATAACAACCAAAGCTTTATCCTATTATGTAAGATCGACTACAAAGGGGCTTTATTAAAAACCAAATTTTTCATAAAAAAATAAAATTTCAAAACCTATTATTGTTACATGACTTGAAAATGGCAACTGCTTAGGTACTAACTCTACATAAGACAGTAATCTTTTCAAGCAAATGGCTGTAGACTTACCATAGATTATCATCTTATGTTGAAACCTGCCTGGCCTCTATGTCCTCAAGCCTTAGGGTAACGGCTCGTTTGTGGGCATCGAGACCTTCAACATCAGCCATGGTTGCTACATAGGGCCCAAGTTTTTTCAGCCCTTCCTCTGTGAGAGACTGCACTGTTATGTACTTTAGGAAAGAATCCAATGAAACACCACCATACATCCTTGCATATCCATAAGTAGGAAGGACATGATTAGTCCCACTTGCATAGTCACCAACACTCTCTGGTGTCCACGGCCCTAAAAAGACAGAACCTGCAGAGGCAATCAACAGGCATGTAAATCTCGGACATTGAATTGCGATCAAGGAGACAGAATGAGATCAACAAAGGAACCTAAGGTCAAGAAAATGGCACCAAAGGGCCTATGTTTTGTCCATGTTTCAAGCCACATCTAAATTGGTTCTTGACAGATTTTAAGAAATTAACAGTGATTGCATCCAGCTTAAGTAAATATAAGAGATTGCAGACAAGGTATATACCACTAAGCCACAAATGCCCTTCCCCAAACCTCCTACATATAAAAAACAGAGCAACAAAGGATAAGACCAAGCCATACCTGCATTCTCAATAAAACCCTCCCACTTCTCTGCATCCTTCACATTCACAATTAGATGCTCAGGTGCATATAAGTTTGAGAAATTGATTGACTGGAAGATGCCAAAAAAAAAAAAAATTAGTTCTGAAACTCCAATGAAGATGTTATAAAGATGTTGATGAATTGAAACCTAACTAGCTAGAAAAAATTAGGAATTCAGCCAAAACTGTAAATTAAAAGAAAATAAACTGATTAAGACCCAACTGTTCACTCTTCAAAGAAAGCTATGAATTACGACAAATCAAGAGATAGCGCTAGTACTTAATTAATGCAACATATGCTTATAGAACACCGTTGTATGACTGTTTAGAAAACTGGGGTGAGCAGATATGGTTGTGTAACCCTACTGCTGCTGCACATATAGAAATACAAACACACAAGCCAAATAACTGTGCTTCTGAATAAATTATTTTCTCTCTTCCTCTTATCTCTTCACTCTGCTTAATGGGCCTATGAATACAGAGATGAACTTGGATAACAGTACCAACCTCGAGCATATCACTTGCATGCACAATAAAACTGTGGCTCAGGGCTTTAGCAGCAAACTCTCCCCTTGGAAGACTCTGGCACTGCTTGCTGAGTTCCTCCTCAATAGCATTTACATCCACACCTTCGCCAGCAATCACAAGAACAACCTGACTATCAGGGCCATGCTCAGCCTGAAAAATTGTAAATTAGTTGCAGACAAATTAGCAGCGTTTAAGGAAGCCAAAAAGTTCTTAATTCGGTGGCTTGATGGTGAAGTATATCCTGTTTGAGAGTTAATTCATGCTACCATTCAACATTCAAGTCACTCTAGCCCACACACATCAAAATAATCAGTATATAAAGTGCTTGTCTTTCTATGTAACAAAAGAAAGGGATTTGCTTTCCATATCTTTTAAATTATATACCACAAGATTACTAATTAAGAAACTCGGACTTACTGAAACTCAGATGAAATAGACATCTTAATATTCCATCATTCTTTTTTTTTAATAAAATTTTTCAATCACATGTTGGACTTGAGTAATAACTAATTGGTGGCAACGGGGTATTTATTGGAGGTTATTTGAATTTTGAATTTTGAATTTAATGTAATAGGAGCTGATTGCGTTTTGTATTTAATAGGAGCTGATTGTGTTTTGTATTTAATAGGAGCTGAATGCGTTTTATTAGGAGTTGCAATTTTATGAGTTGGTTACATATTGTTGCCAATTCAAATTTATTTGTAATTTGTAACTCTGAGCCTATTTATGGGCAACATTTCAATGAAATGATAAAGAGTGTAGATACCAACTTTTATCTTGGTATCAGAGCAAGACTTCCGCTAACAACTCTAAGCGAGGAGCGAAGCCATGTCCGACGCAAACCCTCAAGGGACCAGTACCGCAAAGAAGCTGGCAATTTCTGA